GTAGTAGCGGAAGTTACATTTTCGGTAGGTGTAACATTTTCGGTAGTGACAGTCGTAATGCCCGGTGAACCCTATCATTGATTTGCTGTAATCGTAACTGTACATGCCGAAGGACAGTAAAAGCTTTAGATTTACTTACATTTGAATCGCGGAGTCGCTCCCAAGATTTTGCTCGCCTGAGTGTTTAAGCCCCGGGACTGTGGATGCAATAGTGCTCAAATTGCCTGTGGGTCTGTCTATTTTGTGAGTGTAAAGAAAAAGTAGGCGAGGGGAAAAAACAACTTCCTAGTCGGTTTTTTACCTTTTTGACCATAATGCCCCCCTTAGAAGGCAGTTTTTATTTAGCTTTTCTCGTTAAAACTTATTTCCATTCATAAAATGGGTTCTCGCCAGCATCACCATCAAGCTAACCAGCCATAATGTTATTGAGCCCCCTTGTAGGCATCGAACCTTCAACCGTGAGGTTAATCATCCAGCCTCCTTAAAAAAGTAGCAAAAATCCGGGCTACACGCGCACTGACTGCAGCCGCCGGCAGTCAACCCTGATGACGAAATTCACTTCACGTCCCTCCATTCGCAACTGATATTCCAACTGTGAAAGTTAAGTATGAATTGGCCTTTACCCGCTACATAACGACGCCTGTAGAGAAAGCAGGTTAAGAAACTTGTATGATGCACATCTGTCTTTTTTTTGAAAAAGCAGTTTACATCCTAACTTCAAAGGCAGTCGTAGAAGTACATACAGAATATTCTGTTTTCAGGTATTTGTGTGCTTTTTAGCTTGCAGTAGGTGTACTGTCTATGCACATTGTTTTGCAGTACACTACGTACCTTGCTGCTGTGTGCACCATAATTAACCCTCAGGGTTCAATATTTTGTACATTATCTATGGCGATTGACATGAGATTGAGCTGCTAAATAGGTAAAACTTATGTAATTAAACCAGATGTAATTCACACAAGCAATTAATGTGCATCTTCAGGATCCACACAGTAGATTCAGCGCATTTCAAACACACCTCACTGACTTATTGCACACATCTCTAACATCTAACGCATGTAGGGCTGATGTTACCATTTCATTCCATTTTCATAAGACGCTGAAGGATGGATAAGGTGGTGTTTTTTACATTAATTCAAGTTTAGTAAATATCTTTCATCTCCAAACTGCATTGCTCTTTCCCTGCAGAGGGTCCATGTCATCCAGCTAACCGGTGGATTCTTCTGGGACGTTGCAGTGCCTCTGAGAGCCGGTATCTGCTTCTGTTGGGGAAGGGGAGCAATCCCAAACCCACATGGCTTTAGGGACTGCCTCCTGGCTACAGCTGGGACAGGAGCTGGGCCGCACTGTCCACGTTGGCTGCTTCTCCTGGTGGTTCCCTAGCAACCTGCAGGCAATGGGGGAACTACAGGTCATATGTTTGTACACGTTGCTGCAGCATTATGGACAAAGCCTGTAGCACAGCCCATGTGGAATAAACCAGAAGCTGCTTGATCAGTTAATGGCGAAAAACACCCACCATCCTGGTCAGCTCGCCTCCATCGAATGTGTGTTTTTTTTTTATATCAAACTTTAATCATTCCGTGAGGCATATTAATACCACCATGACAAAAATAAAATCTGTCCACTTTCTCATTGTAACGAGATCCTTATCTTGATAAAATGAGTCATGTATCAGTGGACTGATTTCGAAAACTCATTAAACTTAAATTCACATCATTCCCTTTTCCTTGCATAAGGGGATGAAAGTAAACAGACTAATTCAGAAGGCACATTTGTCTTAAAGGAGAGAAATAAAAACAGGGCCCTCCACATCTCAGCGGTAAGCCATTCTACAGAAAACCAAGTCATATTTACAGGTGTGTATTTCAATGACATGAATGCTAAAGTAGAATGACCTCCTCCTGAGTGCCGCGACTCCCTTTACCTGTGGTAATTGTTTGGGTTCTTTGTCTGCCGTGCACTTCGACACACTCTGCACTTCGCGCTGGACGTCTGTGAATATTTTATTCAGGCTGTCCACCTTTTCATTCTTCACGGCACTGATCTGCAGTGAAAATGACAAGCTACCAGTTGAACGTTCGTACTATTTACCTTCAGCCCCAACCTGCAAAAACAGTAATGTTCTGCTTCAGACATCCCTGCAACTGAATGTCTCACAGTGACTCCAGATTATTTTCAGTGGGGCACAGTAAAACAAGATCCATCCAAATAGGGAAAAAAAGTCACTGACTTCTTTAAGTTCACAAAAAAAAAACAATTTTCTAAAATTACACAAGAATTATATCTATATCTACTTGGATCCAGAGAAGTTATAGGAAGACTACACTAATTTCTTCTAACTGCTGACCAGAGGGCAGTGCGGGGGAGTGTTTAGCAATTCTGGTCCCCTTACAAAATGTCACCTTGGACACCACTTCTCATATTGTATATATAATTTATGTATTCAAAGACCCCTGACAAGTGCTGGGCCCCCTGAATTTGTCAGGGTATCCATGCCCCTGCAACGTCCCTGCCGTTAACTTAAAACACACCAGACGCTAGTTTGATATTTCCAATGCACTCCACAGCACAATGGTCAGTGCTCAACTTCGTTACAGATGAAAGGTTGATAAAACTGTGTTCCGCATTCTGTGATAGATATTACTCAGAGCCGATTAAAACGGAGGGAAGCACCCGGGGGTCTGGAGTTTAGGGGGCGGTGCCAGGAGGGTCTGCCACTTAATGAGATAGCAACATGGAGGTTTTTTCGCCCCAGAACTTAATTTTATGAATTTTGTATAAGTACAATGAAAAAGAAAACAATTACTAACTGTTACAAAACAGGCGATAAGCAATCGCGGCAGACTTACTTGTTTCAGGCTGGTGGTGACAGACTTCGCCTTATTTTTCTTCTTCATGGGTTTGTTGGCGATCTGAAACACGCTCTTCTGCTTTTGACCCTTTGACTTATTTTTGGCCATGATTAGCTGCCGATAAAGATATACTGATTTATTATTATGGTCATGTCATTTGAACTACATCAGGAACACGACATCCGAAGGAGACAAAGGAAAAAGATAAACTTCAATAAGACGACAAATTGACCTGGCTGGCTGGCTATCAATATGCGTTTGACAAGTTTGTATTGGAAAGAGTTTCAGTGTACATCGGAAGAGAGACGATCAATACGTACCTTAACTAGCAACGACGACTCCTCGTGTAAATTGTCGCTTTGACGTCATTGACATGCGACTACACGGCTCCACCAATAAGCGACGGCCGTACACAAGGACTCTGGGGCTCCGCAGCACGTGGTTAATGCGGAAGATCACAACGACAACTGGATTGGAGTTTCCCGTGTACTGCTCTTCGGGATAATTGTTCCTGCTGGTGTGCAGATCAGGGGAGAAATTCGTCTGAAATAACTGAGGGCGTTACTTTTTAAAAAAATTTGCAAACAATGCTGAAAGTCGCATACAAGGAGGGTTAAAAGAGTATGGTTAACCAGCATACCTGAAGTAATTTAAGGGCCAAGTTCAGGGTATTTGAACTCACGACATTCCAGGAACGGATACAGATCCCTAATTCGCTGAGCTGTGCAGCAGTCCATATAGACAGCTCTCCGTTATTCCTTAACGTGATGCGCTTTTCTAAATAGACTTCGTTTCTTTATTACTCAAGCTTTCACATTCCCGTTTTAATCGGCTTTTCTTTAAGGATGAATTACATGTTAATCCTGTGCATATGCTTGCGCAGGGCAATGTGTGTCCTAACTAAATCGTTTTTGCTTTTCAACGTGTATTTCTGTTACAGTTTCTTTAACTCGTAACTGGAATTATCCATCGTCGATTACAAATAGAATTATTTGCCGGCGCGGCGGGGCTAAGCGGGTTCGGATGCTGTCTGTGGTCGGAAGCTCACGGATTTAAATCCCCTATTCAGCACAATGATGTCACCATTAGGCCCTTGTGCAAGGCCCTTATCCCACAATTGTTCCAGGGACGGTCTGACCCTTTTTTCAACAATGTACGTCGCCTTGCATAAAAGCGTCTCCTAAATAAAACGTGAGCTGTATTGTTGACTGCTCCGCCGTGTATTTTGTTTGTCTACCACGAGGTGGCAGTAACAGCTAAAATTTCATTGCGAAAACAGGCAAATGTCACAGCAAACGTAAGTCATAATGTATACATCCATCTTCTAACTGCGGTACACCCTGGATGGGATTTCAGTCCAAAAACAACACGTTTGCTCTTAATATAGAGATAATGTAGTTTGTAATATATGATTGCATTCGGAATTGTGCATTTACGGATTAATAAAACGCTAAGGATATAACTTTTGTAAGAGCAAAAAGGTCTGAAAAATAGCAGGAAACTTTTTTATTTTCATGGTATATGCGGCGGTCCAATATTTTATTACACAAGTACATTTTTAGACAAATAGATAGACTTACCCCGCATGACAGAGTGTAGTATTATTTTTGTTGTATAGCCTAGGACAATGAAAACACTCAACGTTATAAACCCCATCGTTTAAGGCAATTTGTTCATTAATGGTCGATTGAAGACTGGATAAACTTTATTTCTTAGTAAAAGAAGTTTAAACAGTCTAATATTGAAAGAGTACACATCGATATTGGCTATAGTTACGTTTTTTTGTATCTAAAATGCGTTATACGCCATTACCATTTAACACGCTAGTTTACAAATATTTAAACTCATCTTATCTTAATATTATCTTAATATACTGACAAAGAAGAAATAGCATCACCCATGAGTATTTATTGAAAGGTGCAATTAGTGTGTAATTAATTGTTTCCGGGAAAGCATAATAATAATAATAATAATAATAATAATAATAATAATAATAATTATAGGATCCAGCAGCTATTCGTTGCTCGGAGCCCTAATAATTGCGGCCGGCTTATGGACAGTGGTTCATTGTCGCTTTAAGAGTAGTTGCGCTCGGAGAGGGCATATTGAAATCGTCGGATAGCGCGCCTTGGAGATACCATATCAATATGCGCGGAGCCAGATTTTCAGCAATAATAACTTCTATCAGATACTGGGATTTGGCGTATCTGTTTTTGCTTAGAGCGGCTTGTCTTTTTCTAAGTGGATGGTGCCGACGGAAGCAGGCATTTCTTCACATGCGGTGTCGGATTGCGGAAGGCGGCGTTGCCTTGATGTTTGCACTCGTTGACGGCGAAAGCGGCGCCTTCTCGTCGGTAGAAGATCGAGCCCCTTTACCCTGTTTCTTGCTGATAACATCATCCCCTGTGGCGAGCATAGCCGGGACGTGACAGGTGACACATTTTCCTACATCAGAAAACTGTGACATGCCTGCATTTATGATGCACTCCAGTAATAGGTGGATTGAACACCGTGTGCAGAGGAGACACGGCCACGCAGAGAGGAAAATAAAGACTGGACGGCTCATCGATTCATATCTTTAAAAAAAAACTCCTCCCGCAGCTCGCAGGGATCATGTGGCCAAACCCACTGCCTTGGAAGACGCACCAGCCCGAGGAGACTATATAAGTGTCAGAAAGCGGGGTTTATACCCGGCGCAGCGCATTTGGCTCAGAGGACCAGAGGCGCACCGACGGCCACGATGTCTCAAGGATGGGGATACGCACCGGAGAACGGTGAGATCCTCGCTGCGGCATTTTCTACCTATTGCTTTTAGTGAGCTGATTCATTTCCACAGCGTTAGTATTAATGGAAAAGGCAACCGGCGGCGCGGAGATACACGGGGATATGGAAGGTAATAGGTTATAGCATGTGGGTTATGTAACCCCCCTCTTTTGGATTTCAAGGTGACCGGCTTCGCTTACTGCAGGGTCGGAAGGCGCGTTTTCATTGCCAGGTGATAGCAGGAGTCAGATGCTCTAATCGATGAGATCGGCTCCTAGAATAAACCCCTATAATAATACATTCGACCCGGGTTACTGTGCATCCTGTATCGGCTATTTGGCCAGAGTGGTGCAGAGGTGTAACATGTGTACCACGGCTCTGTCACAGGACCAGACAAATGGGCCGAAAAGTTTTCCATTGCCGACGGACCCCGGCAATCTCCCATAGACATCTGTCCCGGCGCGGCGCAGTATGAGCCCGACCTGCAGCCGCTCATCCTGAAGTACGACCCCGGCACCTCAAGTAGCATCATCAACAGCGGCTACTCCATCCAAGTGGACTTCGCCGACGACACCGACAGTTCAAGTTAGTGAGCCGGTGCCGTTTAAAAACCTCCACATAACGGTGTACCGGCCAATGCCTGCAGCGGTCCTGATGCAAATGAATGGGTGCCTGCGCAGCTCTCAATGGATCTATGAATGCATGCGGTTTTATTACCCGATTTGCAAAAACTTGTAACATCTGCACTACCAGTTATATATTTAAATGCCACATAACTGAATCATTATCAAGTATACACACAGTAATCCCAGAACTGCATTTGTGCATTCAGATCAGTTGTAATCCAGGTGAAATTTCGAGGGAACTAATTAAACAGGACGACTTTGGATGTGTATAATCAACCATATTTAATAATGATCGTGCACTACTGCTAATTAATATGATTTTATAAGGTTCACTTCCAGGTCTGATCTCCGTGAGCTTTATTCTGAACAGAGCCATTAACTCATTTTTGCATAGGCCTATATGGCGATATAATTTAATTGTGTCCTTGAATCCTCCTCAAGGACAATTTTCCTTGCTCTTTTTTTTTAACTCAAATGCCGCAACAGCTGTAGCATAGGAACATTTCAAACGGAAAACAGATATTCTGCTTAACTTGGCGAATGGCCTGTTTCCGTCTACCGCCTTTATAAAGCCTTCAGATTATCTGACTCTATTTCGGGATGCTACTTGTGGTACTGGAGGGTTAGCTGCACTAAGATAGTGATCAGTGCTCACCATGCGTGCACAAATTTTATATACACAGCAATCAAAATAAGGAACTAAAACTCAGCAGCCACAAATAAACACGCAAGTAAATGTGTCCTACGCACACACATCGACACGCAGAAACCTTGAAAAGGCAGCGAATGTGGAGCAGATTATACCCTGTTTATCTGACCCAGTCTAGCACGAAGGGAAAGGCGTTGAGAAGAGAATGATTGTAGGAAACTGAGCACCAGGGCCGCTCTGTGGAACTTATGTAACGGCTGCAGCCGCTCAGGGTCTCCAGGCTTTGGGTTCATGGTCACTGAAGACCCGCCGTAGCAGAAAACGTGTGCGTCAACAGTGAAATGCAGGACAATGCTGAATAGGAGAAAAAAGAAGAAAAAAAAGATGAAAAAGCTGACTTCTTGGGTTAGGTGTCCACCATCTCCAGAGTCTTGGAACGTCAACCCGCTACCGGACAGAGTGTCCGAGGGGGCTGCGTAGAGGTGTGAGTTTTGGGGTCGATTTTCGACGCGGTGAGATAGTCTCCGTTAATATAAGTCATCAATCGTCGATAAAAGAGAGGCGAACGTTAGTTCAGCCTCTCGGATTGTAATTAGCCACCAGGTCAAAGGTTGTTAGCGTTGAGTTTAATTTGGTGTATTTGCTGCGTGCCACACACATAATTACTAGGCGCCTATTAATAGCTTCCAGTTCAAGACAAGTCAAGTGGCTTTTTCTTGTCATCTCAAGCATGTACAGTTGGTACAGTACACAGTGAAACGGATCAATGTTTCTCCAGGACCTTGGTGCTACGTAAAACAACGCAGGACTACAAAGCTACGCAGAATGAGCTGACGTCTCTCTGCCGCTGTGCTATCAGCGAGCGCATTCAGAGCTGATCCCCGTTGTCAGATAGAGGTCTGACTGTTGTGTTATGGAGCGAATAATGAGCCTGTCTCGTATCCAAGGCAGTACGATTTGATGTTATGCACGTTGCCCCTTCACGGAGTAAAACATTAATGCTGATACCATTCAGTTCAGAACTCAGGAGTCTGGAACCCTTGATGGGATGTGAGATGCTCACCTTCTGGGTAGAACTGACCACTGTGCGGATCTCTGCCCACAGCACTGACCGGGGGACCCATCTCAGGAACCTACCGCCTGCGGCAATTCCACTTCCACTGGGGGGCGAGCGACGACAGGGGCTCAGAGCACACAGTGGATGGGACCAAGTTCCCAGCTGAGGTACAGGAATCCTGCCACCTTCGGCTCACCATCCAGAGTCGTAATGGAAAGGTGTTCTGTACAATCAGACGTAGACAGACAGACTGATAATGGACACTGCAAAAGCTGGATCTGTATAGCCAGCTAAAAGTTTGCCCTGAGTTTTGTTCATCGCTTGCTACAGTTAATTTAACAGGTCTTCTCTACCCCAGCTCCACCTGGTGCACTGGAACACTAAATACCCCAGATTCGCGGAGGCTGCTGCTCAGCCAGACGGCCTGGCTGTGGTGGGCGTCTTCCTGCAGGTCTGTTTCACTCCTGGCACTGCTGCCTTGCTGCTGTTTGTGGTTCACCACACTAAGACATGAATTATGACTCCTATCTGTTACTGGAGGTTCCTCAAGGACAGTGTTTCCCAATTCAGTCCCCTGGGACCCATTGAGAGTCCACATTTATGCTTCCATCCAGCTCCCGGTGTGGACTGTCTGGCAGGGAGCTCGGAGGGAGCAAAAACATGGGCTGACTGTGGGTCCCCGAGGACCAGATTAGGAAGTACAAGATCTTCAGTACCAGGAGGGAAGGATGGATGTGTGGATGAATGGATGTGTGGTTAATATGTGTGTGGTTCTCTGTCAGATCAGTGATGCCAATCCACATCTACAAACGGTTCTCGATGTCCTGGATGCTGTCAAGACCAAGGTAGGGCTGTGCCAGGAAGCCCAGATGGCCCGATAGCCTGATGCTCGTTACTGTGGCAACCTGACCTGGCATTAACCTTTAGCTCTCGCATCTATTTCACTCCAGGGCAAGCAGACAACGTTCACAGACTTTGATCCCTCAATCCTGCTGCCTGGTTCTCTGGACTATTGGACTTATGACGGGTCCCTGACCACACCCCCGCTGCTGGAGAGTGTGACCTGGATTGTGCTGAAGGAGCCAATCAGTGTCAGTTCTGACCAGGTTAGGCCCTGCCCCCTCTCCTCTTTGATGCCCCTGTTACCTGCTGCTTAGAAACAAATATAATCCACAGTTTATGTAAGTGAGCTTCTAAATATAACTTTTTATCTGGTCTGGCTTGTGAAACCAGATGCGAATACTTTTATCTTCTTGCTCCTCAACCATATCCTCTTTCATCTGGCACTCGTCAAAACTGACGCAAGACAAGCTGTACCTGAGTTAACCTTTCAAGCAGCCAGTGCCAATGTCTTCCTCAGTCCAACGGCTGAAAAGTTACAGCTACTCATATGGGTCGGCTGCAGGGATCCTGACGTCTGAGATTCGGGATGTTATGAGCGGCATTGTGTCCCGATTCTCTCCTACTCCAGCCCCAGCACCTTGAGGTTGTGGGTTCTGATCTCGGGCAGGGTGCAGGCTAGTGAGAGGCAGCCCCACTCTTCTGGAGGGTGACGAGGTAGCCACGTGCTCCTCCCCCCCCCCCCCCTTAACTCCCACTCCATCTCCCCACAGATGGAGACATTCCGCGGCCTCCTGTTCACCTCCGAGGGGGAGGAGCCCTGCTGCATGGTGGATAACTATCGCCCCCAACAGGCACTCAAGGGGCGCACTGTGCGCGCCTCTTTTGAGTGAATATCAGCAACATCAGCCTGTTGGCCCCACCCCCTGTCATGACCACACCCACCCATACTTGACTCCACCCCCTTTGGAAGCACAGAACCTTCACAGAACTTAACCGCCCCCCCAAGTGTCTGTTTCCCACTCTAGTGCAAGTAATTCCTCTCCTGCTCCCCAACACCTCCTGTGATTGGGTGGGGTGGGGGGCTGAGATTCCATGCCTGATCTGCTGTGGACCATCACGGGTTCAAACACGCAAAAGTCTCATGACACCATGTCGCAATTCAGGAAACAGGATGTAGCCATAACCAAGCACCCCGTGGCCGAAGTGACACGCCCTCATTTTGTCGTCTGCCGTCAGATACTAATCCCTGCTCGCCGGGTTCCCGGAGACTGCCGCTCCATCTGACCCCCCAAAATCTGTCGCCACCCGGCAGCGAGACATGCAGTCACGCACAGCAGTCCCACGAAATGTGGCAGCCTTGTCCGTAATGGCGGTGTGAGGCCACTCAGTGCTGAGATTTACATTTCCCATCTCACGTTCCGCCCCGGGCACTAGCTGAATTATTAGTTTGGCAGCTTTTTAATTTATTATTTTCCTTTGCAAAATGATTCTTATGTTGTTTTATTCCTAGAATCTCCTCCTGGCATGTTCTGAGACATTGGTGGGGGGGCAGTCACAGAGTGACTGGAGGCAGATGAATGAATGGACCAGAGGAATTAATTAATCTAGCATTTATGCCAGTTGTTCATTTTTTTTCCATCATAAACTAAACATACTTATGTGTTTTTCTCGGGAAATCTGTTCATGGCAGAGTTTATTTTAAGCCTTTAAGATAAGCAATATTGTCAGAGACCTGCTGGGAGAGTGTGGTGTAATTCTGCTGTTAGTTAAATAAATCTATTTTATGACTTTTCTCAGCTGTGTGTGTGTGCTTGGTGTCGAGGTAATGCCACTTTGAAATGGGGATTTGGGGTCACAGGAGCACACATGTAACATGAACATGACCTTTGCACAGATCTGCTTGTGAATAGCCCATTGGCGCCTCCTAGAGGGGCTGACTAGTCTAGCGGGAGAAAGAAGATGCTGCTGTCCAGCTGGACTCCAGTGCTTCAGTGCATTTTGACGTGGCCCAGTCTCCAAAGATACACAAGCACACTGTGATTGAACTTTGTCCATTGAACTATTAAATCCGCAAGACGTTAATCATCACCTCAGAATCTCACACAGAGCTGCAGAGACCCGAAAATCAAGCACAGAGCTGTATCATTCTTCATCCAAGGCCTAACTCTCATCATAATTCAGTAAACTGTACTTTGTCTCCCAAGGACAGCCTTAGCTAACGAAATACAGACCCACGTCACTGTTTCAAGGACAGACCCGCTTAATCAGAGTTGCGTCACCGTGCATCATGGGTACAGGCATTAGTAATCGAATGCGGAACTACATCTGCAATACTTCATATCCCTAAGGAGAGAGATACCCCAAGACGGGCTAGCGATACCCTTTGCCTCAAGGACAGAGCATATTAAACGGAAGCGAGTGACACCGCCGAGCGCGGGGACAGAAGGGGGGGGGGGGGGGGATTGGCTGGGGGAGAAAGATGGAGGACAGGAAGGGAAAGCTGGAGTCACGCATTAGCTGACCCCAGTCTGCCAGCTGGAGGTGACTCAGAGAGTCATGTGACCCTTAATCGCAGGCAGCGCGCGACAGCATGGCCACGTGAGAGACCTAACAGGCACACATCACCGTGCCGTGGTTCTCACGTGTCTGGGGTGCAGGGGGGTGGCAGTCACCTTGTCCCTATCCTTTACCACAGAGAGAGAGGAGTGTAAATGAACAGAGGGGGGTAGGCACTGTCGCAGGGCTTCAGAGTGCTACTGAGGCAGAATATACAGCCCTACTCCCCCCCTCCCAGTATGAAGGCGGGCAGCCAATGTCGAAGCGACAAAGCTCATTCCCACAGCAGCTGAGGTCAGGTAACCAGCAAGATCCTCGGCGGGGTGAGTTTGCCAGGAGACGGCGTTCGGCTCCCCGCCACCGGAGCAGCCTTTCCGGAACCTTCCCGGCCGACGTCGGCCTCAGCAACCAGCTCTGCTGCCCTCGGTCTCATCTCCAGGGTTCCCAGTGTCACATACTCCAGACGAGCGTACAGCGCGATGGCGTCTTGTCCGGTGCTGGAGCCTGTCTGCCGCGTTACGTTTCAGACTGCTGCCTGCCGACGGGACACCCATTATCTGCATGCCAAGAGCGTCAGGAAGGTGTCCGGTACAGTACCCACAATGCCTTAGGGTTAGGCTTAGGCCGCCCATAGCTATGTCCTGGTCAACGTGACCCCGCCCACTCCATGCGTAGGTACAGAGATTGGCGGGTATCCATGGTGACTGCGTGGGAGCTGTGTAGGAACCCAGCATACACGGGACGCCTAAGTGCTGCCAGCAGGCGAGTAGCCGGCATTTAACGCCCTCTGCGTACCTGAAGCGGCAGCGTGGAGAGTGTATTTATAACACAGCAAAAAGCAGACTGAAAATGCGGCTGCACTGCAGGCTGACTCAGGCGGAATGCCGGTCACGACTCACCAGGCCGGGCACATGTGACGCACACACGCCACGTACACGGGCGCTGAGGGGCCGTACCGAGGCCAGTCCCCGTCGTGCTGAACGAGCTGCTAATATCACGTCTCGAACCCTGGTCGTTTCATAAACTGTGGGGTGGTTGTTGGGGGGAGGTAGGGTGCAGAGAGATGTATATAATTAAGGGGTGTCGATATATGGGTGTGTTTTAAAAAAATCCCTCTTCATCTAAGGCTATGGGCATCAATAAAGCAATGATCCAGTAGCAGTTGCCCTGGGGGCTTTGGGCAGGGATAACGTAAAGCCCTTTGAGGCAATGTAATGTGAAAATGCGGCATATGAATCACATTGAAGTTCATTTAATCAAATCCACAAAAAGGTAAAATGGCAAAAATAATAAAACGAAAAGAAGAAACATGTCAAGTTTAGATTTTTAGCCTTCTGGCTTTGTTTCAAGCTCCCAGTGAAGATAGAAGCCAGTTTGCAAGTGCTGAATGTCAAAACAGCCCCCAGCCAGGTGAGATGAGGGCGTCCCTATAGAACTTGCTGTGGGAAAATAAAAGAACCTGTTTAGCCACCACCTAGAGCCAAACAAGACAGATAACGTACGGGAGGGGTCGCTTTTATGGTCACCCAGGAAGACTGACCCGGTGGTTTCCCTCACTGTCAGCAGCAGCAGAGTAACTGGAGGGGGGTTAATGTGTTCCTCATTCCCACTTTCATTTGCAGCCTTGACCTCAAGCAACTGAAGAATCACCTGTGGAGGAGAAACCACCATGCAGCTACATCTCAGCACGGGAGACCCCTCAGAGACCGCTCCTCATGTTTTTTTTTACTGCTCCTCACTTGTCATTAGTGATTCAACATCCTGGAGCTGAGTGGATTTTTATTTCAACTCATTTTTCATTCATTAATATCGAGCAACATTCTCAGATTGAGGCCAGCTTAGCCAACAAACGTCGTGGTCAGAATCGCATAGCATGGGATCAGACCTACTTCCATTTGATATGGACGGTAATTACGATGACGTTCTTGCTTCCTGTAGCTTGACTCGATCTGATTGGCTCGTTATGTCTCTTCCCTGGCCTGATAGGCAACAGAATGAAGATTGATAGGAGGAAGGAGGATTAGGAACCATCCCATTAATCCCATCAGGCCACGTTGTTATTCTGTCATTCATAAAGCTGCTTGCTCTGTGGTTTCTTATTACTACATAACCAGCCGTTTCTGCACCTCTACCTAGATCCATATGGGTGGGTTTCGGCCAATCCTCAGGGCCCTCCCACAAGGCGGATCACTGCCAGCCAATCAGCAAAGCCTTAAGTGCCTCGTTCGAGTGTGCAGGAGATAAAGTGTAATTTAAATTTGTAGACTGATGTGATTATCTGACGGCAGATTTGGAAACTGAGGTGATACATGGGTTTGGCTCTGATGAAAGGTGGGGCATTCTTGGGTAGGGGAGGAGCATTTCAGTTGTACCTGTCAAAGGAGACCCCTGGCCCCCAAACTCCCCCGAGCCCCAGCTGTGTGGAATTGAAGACGGAATGTTCTGGAAACACCAGTGCCATTCCCTTCATAATGAGGCCCTGCTCAATGCAACAGCTGCACATCTGGTGTCACGCGAAGCATGAATCCCCCCGACAGATACGCTACACTCCACTAAGCGTTCGTGATGAGCACGGCTGGTCGGTGTGATTGACCTGCCGTGTCACTGCCTGTGAACTGGTGCCCCTCACTCAGCGAATCGGGGTGGAGGCGATGTGTCAGCTGGGAGCCGTGGGGGGGGGCAGCAGTCCTCCTGGGGCCCTGCACTCTTAGGGAGGCCCTGATCCTGACTTCAGGCCTGTCGGGGCACAGGCTGCTGAGCGCAGGAAAAGCTGAAGCTAACGAGCCGCGAGATATAACGAACACACGCAGCAACGAACACACGCACAAACATGCAGAGACATGCACACAAGCATGCACATGTGGACTCACAATACATAACTTCAGAATCACGGTCCATGTTTCAAATGATTTTTCATCTTGATTCCAGCGCATGTGAGGCACTCAATGACGTGCCATTGCAGGAAATGCAGCAGTTGCAGCATCCACGACACCTGCACCTGCAGCACATTAAGATCCATGTCCAGAAGCACTCTACATGCCATAGAGGGTGTCTGCGTGTCTGCTGTGGTCCCCACACTGTGTAATATCACCCCACTGGCGAAACCACCTGGTTTGGCCATTTGAGATGATCTCCCACAGTGTCTGTCTCCATGGAGACAGGCATCCCTCAAACCCGAGTCCTGGAAGACTGGCAATGGGCCTCGTCGTCGCACATGCTCGTGAAGATTCCTGTCCTGTGTAATTCCAAAGCCCAGCAGACTGCCAGCAGCACTGCTGGGCGATTAACGCGAGCTGCGGTCGCTAGCCTGAGCAGCTAATGGCTAATTAGCGGCTAAATCGCGACACTGATAATGATGATAATGCCGACCGTGCAGCCGCACTTCATGACAGTGATGAAATTAAGGCTCTCTGCCTAGCTACACCTGACAGACGGCTATGTGCTGTCTGCCCCCCAGAGCAAGAGACACATGGCAAAAGCCACAACAGGGCTATGTGTGAATTAAGTGTAGTGCTGTACTGCATATGATGCCTGGAGTCACACACTGAGCTGAAATTTTCCTTGGTCGTAGGGCAAAAACAAGTAATAAATTGAATATAAATACTAAGACATATAAACATTATGTAGACATGACATTTTAAGACATGACATAAAGACACAGACACAGTAAACCACCCGACTCATGGGGAAAAACTGTGTAAATTGGTACAGAAGTTTGGCATTGAAGTAGAATGTAGAAGAAAGAAATTGATTTAGATACAGAGGCATGAGTTTGACAGTGAGGAGCCAGATTATTCAGCAGTTAAATCATCTGCATTAACCAAACGCCTCATCCTGCTGACAGCATGCAGGTACATAAAAAGTTGGCTTTGAAAAAATGTGTCAAAACTCCTCAGGAAGGCAGTAACATACGTGCGTGTGTGTGGGTGGGTGGGAGTGAGGGGTATAGAGTTTCTGCCCCAATTCAGCCCCGAACAGGCCTTGTTATGTGGTGGGGAGGGATCCAGTTTCAGAATAGCGGGGCCCCGTGGGGGTTAAATTCAGGACATTACCAGCACCTCTGCCTGATGACGTTTTCTTTGTTTACCTCCTGTTGAATGACAAAGTGGAGAAGGTGGGGAATGTGGGTGGGAGACGGATCTGACGGCAGACTGCACGCTTACAGGCAGTGGGGATCGACCTGGGGACGAAAGGGCCACCTGTCTTGGTGGGAGTGACTTAGCTGCTGGTGACCGGG